CCACCACTGACTTCTGCATGTGTGTTTGTATGCGATGAACAATCACTGCAATAAAGAGTGAGACTAGCGATAGCAACAAGACACTAGCTGCTGCCAAGTAGACCCAAGGGAGCGCAGCCAAGAGACCGCAAGCTGCAGCCCCCTCGTCCAGTCCGGAGGGACAGTGCGGCGTTCCGTCGCACCACAATTCCTTTGGCAGACAAGCACTAATGTCTGGACAGCGATGGGGACAAGGGTCGTCCTTGGCTGTTGGGACGCTGGGTTTTCTCAAAGGCCTCCAGATTCCAACCCAGGATATTAGGAAGCGGCCGGAGTAGTTTCCAATATATTCCACAAATAAGTCTCGAGATTCTGGACGTTTCACAGGCTCTATGAAATCGTACTCTTCCGTGGTGGTTGGCGGTAAACTGCTCGTGGAAATGCTCTCGTTCTGCCACATGAATTCGTCTTCATCCTCGTACTGGAATCGAAACTCGTAGTCTTCCCACCCACTGCTGAAGATGTGCGTGAAAACGTCGCGACGCTCGGGGCAGATAGAGGCCAGAGGTGTGATTCCTCCTGCTGCAAAAACGTTAATCCTCGAAGCCACTTCACAGTTAGTGTCTGTAGCAGTGAAGCCTCGCACCCTCAGGAAAAGAAAAGACGAATCGGTAGCGCTGATCAGACGCGGAAGCCCCGCACAGAGGTCTCCTCGCCCAGCACCAACTGTGAAATTCCCATAACGACCGTTCAGGTGGCGAACAGTCTCGTTGCAGCCCTCAATGACCTCCAGAGGCGCATCTAGCACGTTATATTCCCCTTCAAAAAAATAATCGTTATAATCCTCATTTGGAGTCATGTTCGAGATGCTGAATGTCAGCCGGATGCGGTTTGTATAAGAAATGATGTTGAAGGACTGGCCGTTGGATACGTTGCAAAGGCACGCCCTTTCTACAGGCACGTAAGACCAAGGTTCCTCTGTAATCCTTATGGCTGGCTCGCCCGGCTGACCTCCGTGAGAGCATTCATGACGTCGGGAAGCATGGCGATACACAGTGGTGCAGTTCGAGCCCATTTTCGACCTTAAGATGCGTAGGGAAATACGCTGGTGTGATGGCACATGGAAAGTGTACTCACACAAGAGTCTTTTAGCTCCACCTCGACCAAACATAAACACATCTCTGGGAGAGGCAAAAAGACGGTCAGGTCGTACTCTGAAGGTGCGGTCACACAGGCCTCCCCAAGGCGTGGGTTCCCCCCACTGCCGTGTATCAACAAACTCGTATCTTGCCAGAAATTCGACGTGCGAAGGCGCAGTGCCGGCAGCGTATCTTAATAGCAGCGTCATGGCGGGCTGGGTCGACACATAACTGTCTTGAGGTGAGCAGGAAGCCGAGTGCGGGCTGGGGGCGTGGACGCCACTGCACACACGTGGAATTTTCTCTAGTTTACAGAACTTGCCAAGTAACGTTGTTGAATTTTCCTCGCCTGTTCCGGTGGTAAGTCCATCATGGATTTGAAATGTGTTCGGGCATTTGGCTGGGCGAGGCATCTCCGGGTGCAGAACATGGCGGTAGTGCAGGAAGTATAACCATACGATTTCAGAGCTACCCGCTTTAAGCTGCCAAATGCAGGTAGTGTTTGCTAAGAGGGAATGCTCTACAGTCTGCACATACCCACTCCGTTGACCTTGACTGCTTATTACGTACTCGCACTTGGAACCCCGAGGCACGTAGGCCGTCGATTCACGATCAACAAACTTTACTTCAACGTCTAATTCAAAGCCGTAAGTGCGTCTGCGGGGAGAGTCCTGGAAAGGAAAGTCGTAGGGCGAGGCGTGAAAGAGCAAGAGCATGTCTGGCCCACTGGAGGTCAAGCCGGTCAGCGCAGCGCCCCCTTTGCAGAAAGTGGACAGGACAGGCGCTGTTGTCTTATTTCCGTCGAACACTACCAGGTAATCGTGGAGGGTGTGGCAGGATTTCCCCACCTCCAGCTGCCTCTCCCGGGACAAGTGCGGCGCATTCCGGTCCTTAATGTAAATGAGGTGAGGATTTCGCTGGAGGACCCGCACGAGGGCGATCTTTCCGTCCGGTATGTGAGTCTGCCGGATGTAATAATAGCATGTGAGGTTCCGTGGGTATATCCCTGGGAAGTTGGGGGACTGGATCTTGCAGTTCTTTTTATCGCAGTTGACGAAGGACTTATCACAAAATGAGCGCGTTATATCTTCGCCACGGTAACTGAGTTTGTAAGACGGGCCGTATCGCAGAACCGCTTTCTCCTTCTGTAAGAAGCGATAGGAGAGGCGCAGCATGACGTTGTCCTGCGGCTGGAAGCTGCCTCGTTCTTCCTCGTTCTTCTCGCTGACGTTGAACACCCGCAGCATCACTGTGATGGCGGTGGTTTCGGAGTAGTAAAACCGGGCCGTCTCATCCGCCCAAAGCCGGCGTGTGAAGGGGCGGGCGCGCAACCTTCCGCGATCGCATGCCGCCGGCAGCCGTCCTCGCTGTGCCGAAGATGA